GCTTGTTCATGTGTGTTTAAATATAAAGATACTGAGATTTATTCCAAATTGAAAAAGTCTATTAGCTGGATTGACAATCTGTCGTATTTGCCTGTAACAACAGATGGGTACATTCACTGGGACACTGGAACATTCAACTGTTTCTTTCAATGTGCTTGATGCTCACTGGGGGCTCCATTTTGCCCCCCTTACTCATGCTGAGTAATTACCTTATTTTTCAAGGAGTCCCATTGAGCTAAGATATTATGCAACATTAGTGAAGGTGCCAGAACCTGGCCTAATGGAGGGATCTCATATGCAATTTGAAAGTGATTTGTGTGAGTTAAGAATTAGGTCTGATACTAAAATGTCTCCAAGTCACCTTCTGTTTCCTTAACTTTTCTCAATCTCATCTTTATATAATCCAAAATCCAGGTTCCCTTGTGAGGCAGAAATTCAAGCAAATATTTAGCTTGTTGCTAATCATGCTTTCCTCATACTTAGGATTTCATTATATTCAGGTCTTAAATTTGCCCTCTGACATCAAATGCAGTTCAGAACAGCTGCACAGAAAATGTTTAAGAGAAAATAAAAGGAGATAACATTTTTTTTCATTGCTGGTGCTCTAGTATCCATTAATGTGCTTCTAACAGCACTACTACAGAGAGTTGAAAGTGGCTTGACTTTCTGCATTTGTTGAATTACTTTTTGATTAATGAAATTATAGCTAAGGATACTAGAGCTTGTTGACAAGGGGTAAGTATATTTTATTTTAAAAAATTATGAGAAACCCATCAACTCCAAACCCTAAGATACTTCATGTAATTAAAAAATTCATGGAATTTTATACTTTCCCTCTATTTCCACTTCAAAAAACTGAAAGACAAAGTGGGATTTTCCAGCTGTTTTTTACACTGAAATGTTTGAAATGCTTTAAAAATGTGTATTGAAATTATTTGTTTGGAATGTCATTGAAAAATGTTGATAAGAGATTTTTTTTCCAGGAAAAAAAGTAGTCATTGAGCCTCCTTCTTAATGAGAAAAATAATTATCTAAACAAACAAAAATAACACAAAACCCCAGATTGCTCAAGGCTTAATATTCCTCTTTTCTTAGAACAAAGAATTACATCCACAGGAAAAAAAATCCAATAGTGACATGTGGCTTGTAAGCTTAATTATTTTCCTTAATGTGCATATAGGCTCTGTACAAATGACTTAAATTATCTTCTCACATTGCAGTTTTCTGGCAGCATGAATATAAACCCATGCTTCTGGTGGCTTGAATCAGAATTTATGCAAACATATGCAAAGTTGCACTGTCCTGTTTTTGTTAGAGGATGTTGGCAGATTTGCATTAGTAATAACTATCCTTAAAATTGCATAGAAACAATGGAATGTAATGTACACACAAATATATCCTCCCACCTGCCAGCTCTGCACATAACATAGTGCACACATGATCAGTTAGGTCAGCAACTGAATTTCCTCCTCATGTTATAAAGGTATTATAAGGCTGTTCAGTGAACGCAGTGAAAACACTTTCCCAGTCAGACTGGGATGGTACTTGGCCCTGATTGTCACTCTTCAGGGAATGTGTACAACAGCATACAACTTTTCAGACTGGAAATAAAATTGGAACATTTTTAACAGTGAGGGTAATTTAAATCATGGTGGATTCTTCATTATTTACAATTTTTAAATGACGATTGGATGCTTTTCTAAGAGGTGCTTGAATTCCTACAGGAATTATTGAAGGGTACTTCTGTGCCTTGTGTTATGTAGGAAGTCATGGCTAGTTGACCCTTCAGACATTTAGAATCTGTGAACATTATAGGATACAGGTCCCATGAAATGTGAATCTAGTTGTTGTCTGGAAAGAACAACCAATGTCCATTACAGATACACGACACCTGGAAGTAGTGCACAAAGGGACAGATTAATGGAGCAGTTTTGTACCTGGTCGGTCCTATAAAACGGACATCTAGGAACGGAGAGCTTAAGAGAACTGGGGGAGAGTATGGTGCCAAAACACAAAAGGGTAGCTTGAAAAAGGAGCAAGTGGATCTGAGATCTGAGTTGGGTCAAAAATCTGTGTCATCCTGGTAACAGGAGAAAAGGGAATGCATATGAAATGATGGTGTTGTCTATACTGCAGCCTTCCCTGTTTCACTTTTGAGTCTCCATAGACCCTGGGGTGAGTGTAGTAGGTTAAAGTGGCCAGAAGCTGTTCTACCTTTTTGATTGGCTTCCATCTCTTTTGAGCATGCATTCTGGAAGGGATCAGAAAAAGCAAGGCTATTACACTTGGCCATGCCCTCTTTCTTTCTCTTAGATCAGGGGCTCTCAAACTTTTTTTCTGGGACCTTTTTTGAAAATATTTCAGGCCTGCTTCCAAAAGAAGTAATTACTTACCACCCCATACCATGCCATCTTTACTTCTGCATTGCTGCTGGCGGCAGCACAGCTTTTAGAGCTGGGTGTCTGGCAAGGGATCTGGGGCTAGTAGATTTTGTGAAGCCTCCCAAACTCCAGGATAGGGCCAAAAATGAGCAGTTCAGTGTGCGGGAAGGAACTGCCAGGGAGCAGGATGGGGATATAGGGTCTGGGCAAGAGGTAGGGTGCAGGAGTGGGCTGGGGGTGCAGGGTCTGGGCAGGAAGTAAGGTGCAGGAGCAGCCTTAGGGTGGTGGGGCAGGATCTAAGTGGGAGGTAGAATGAAGGAGGGGGGCTGAGTTTGGAAGGTCTGGGGGCAGTAAGGATACAGGTGCAGGCTGAGGATTCAGGGTCTGAGAGAGGAAGGGTACAGGAGGAGGCAGGGGATTGGGGCACTTATCTAGTGCAGCTCCTGGGGGTGAACAGGTGGCTCTGTACAGCCCTACACTTGTTGGCACCGCCCCCTGCTGCTCCCATTTGCTGTGGTTCCCAGCCAATGGGAATGGCAGAGGTGGAGCCTGCAGGTAAGTTCTGCTAGCAGTGCCACATGTCATTCCAACCAGGGAGTGGAGAGGGAGAAGAGCAGCGCACAAAGCCTTCAGCCTTCGGAACTGGGTGCCTGGCAGGGCTGGATTAACTTTCTGCCCTGACAGGCAGAGCCACAGCATGCAGGGCCTTTCGGGGTTTCAGCTCCTTTCATAATCTGGACCTGGTGCCTGGCCAGCAGCCACTGCTCTATGGCTGCTCAGCTCTGAAGGCAGCAAAGAAGTAAGGATGGTAATACTGTTACTCACCTGCAATAGGCTTGTAATCCACTTTTGGGTCAGGACCCCCAACTTGAGAAATGCTGCCTTAGGTCATGCTCTATTTCTCTATGCTGCAGTTTTAGTGAGTGAGGCAGGCAAGCGACATGGCTCTGCATGAGATGTATTCATTGAGATGTATAACAATGTAAGGGGGTTGGTGCACTTAGGCCTACATTTAGCATTATTTCCTTCTTCCATCTCTTCATTGTGGAATAGTTGGATCTAGTTAAGTTTACATAATAATTTTTGTCACATTAGTTCTCTCGGTCTTCCCCTTTACATATCTTCTTTCCTACAAATGATGTGCAAGGTGGAGTAGTGTACTTAATGTCTCCTGCAGCCACATCACGGGAGGCATTTAAACACAGAAATTCATGTTAAATAACCAGTAAAAATATGTTTTCCTCCACTTGTGGTGTCCTGTTGATTCATCCACTGAAGAGATTTCACAATGTGACATAAAAATACTACAAGCTTTGTAGTTTGCAAGACACAATGGTTGTGATGTCACAGAATGATGCATTCTGGGATACAATCGGCCAACAAAGAAAAGTACAAAGAGGAACAGGATTTTGAAAAAGTTACTTGAAATGTATATCTGTCCCCTTTTGCCTATAGTTTGTTAACAGGGACATTTAATTTCTAGGCAATTTTCTTCATTTGCTTTAGAGTTTACTGTCAATGCACTGATATAGGACTGCCTCTTCAAAAGTGCATGCATTTGCACTTACCTACATTTTAATGCAAAAATACCTTGTTGCAGCTACACATATAGGAAAAGTTTGATGTTTAAATAAGGTGTAAGTAATTCTGAAGACTTAGCCCATAATCGTTTTGTCATTTGGCCCAGCATTAGTATGGCAAATACTATATTGTCATTTCGCCCAGTATTCTGTGAGCTGGCATGAGGTTATGTGCAAACTGAATTCCTATAATAAAAAAAGTCTGAAACTGAAACATGATCATTACAAATCTTTCTTGTTTTTGCAGATGCAACCTTCCTCCTCTGTCCAGTGAATACAGCAAGGATGTTGGATCCAAGACACAGCTGGTGACGGCTAATCCCAGTATAATTGAGAAAAGGTAGAAAGCGCATTTTTTTCTTGTTCAGTAAGGAGAAGGTTTCATCTGTATTCATAGATATTGATATTGATATGTCAGAATTATGTTCTTTAAAATTAAGATAATATTGTAATCAAGGACAACCTTGAAAACAACCAAAGCCAGAACTGATTATTGCACTCTATAGACCTCCCTTGCACCCGCATTATTTATTAGAATAGGTTGAAATGTTCAAAATTTCAGGTTTAGATGAAGTAAAAGAACAGGGAAAACATAGACACAATTTTTCATCTTTTTCATGATTTTTTAAAAATCTGCTCTATTATCTAGTTATTACCCAAATGTGTGAGGCCCTTTACAGAGCTAGATTATGGCAGACCAGTGCCTGGAGCACTTGCTGAAAGTGCACGACAGTGGAAGGGCTATGGAGCTAATGAAGAAATCTGTGAAGTGGGACGAAGTGGTGAAGGCAGTAGGTGAGGAACACTAGTTTGGCTATGGAATTTTGAATAAAATGGACGGGAATCACGAGCAGTGTTATTTTCAGGAAGTTGGTTACAATAATCAAGTCAGGAGATTGTCACACCATGAACAAAGGTTTTTTCAGTACGGCTGTCTAGGAAAGGACAAATTTTGGATACTTTTGTAAACAAGTAACTGGCAGGATTGAATAGCTTAAGCATGAGGGAAAAGGGGAGTGTAAGATGACAGAGTTTCCAAGCATTGACAATAAGAAGGACTGAGGAATTATCTAATGTAATAGAGTGGGAAACAGGAGATGGGAGGAAATATGGTTGAGGGGCAGCTGGTTGAGGAGAATAAAAGAGATACCTCAGAGGATAGGAGATGAGAGCAGAAGGAAGGGAGAAGGGGAATGGTGAGTGGAAGGAGAATGGGGCAAGAGGAGAGTTTCTGCTGAATAGTGTCAGGTCTTTTGTTTGTTTTTCCTTTAAGCAGTTTGCAATACCTTGAGGGTAGGGAGAGTGGGCAGAGGGCGATGAGGGTGGTTGCAATAAAAGCTGATCCCTCAAGAGAAATGTGGCCATTTAGTGAGGTAGCTGGCAGAGTTGCAGGGAGGGAGGACAGATACACAGAGTTGAAACTGGTGGATGCTTGGAGGCATTAAACAGGTTGATAAAGTCCCCATTCTCTTCCAGAAAGTCAGGTCATGAGGAGATGTTTTTTAAACCACCTCTTGTCTCTGAATCGGTAATGAAAAGTGGCATGAATGCTACACAGGCCTGCTGACGGGGGAGGAGAGCAACGAGGGAAACTGCCCCAGGACCCGGCAATCAAAAGGGCCTGGAGCACATAGCTGCTGTAGCTACTGTGGCAGTGGCAGTGGCAGTGGTTGGAACCATGGGCCCTTTAAATCACCAACTGAACCCAGGATGGCACAGTCCAGGTAGTACTGAGGGCTGCCTGGGGGAGGCTAGCCCCAGAGTTGCCCCTTCTACCCAAGGCCCTCACGGAGCCACCCCCCTTTGCTCAGATGCCCGGAGAGTCTGTCGACCACACTGATGCTTTTGACCTTCCCTGGACATGTTCCTCAAACTCATGATTTTCCCTGCATTGTAAGCTACAGCTAACCTTAAACATATTAGAGGTGGGCATGGGCTTCAAAGGTAGAACACAAATCAAGATCTCTGTTCTTTACAAGAGCTTGGGATTCTGATTAGAAGCTCCCAATGAAGTGTAGTGCTGGCTATTGATCCAAACTTCCATTAAGGTCAATGGTACTCAGGTTTCTGGCTTTGATGTGAATCAGTCTTTGAACTATAGTCAGCTAGCCTCAGATAATGTTATTTTCTACCCTAATTACCATTTTTCTGATCTCCTCCTGTACTTACGTTAAGTAGTTTGATATTGATGAGGCTTGACATCTCAATTACTGCTCAAGTGTGCCATGGCAAATTTAGTGAATTGATGCTGCATCACCATTCACCTTTTCCAGAAGACTTATCCTTGCCAGATATGTTACGGTTAGACATATTGGACGTGGCGAGGACCTTATTTCAAGGTTGCACAAGCAATTTTCTATGGAGCTTGAAAATGACATTAGATGCCATTAAAAAGTCAGACTATTGCCAATAATTATCACACAGGCATTGGTATCTAAGCTACCATAATTTCCCTCTATACTAGAACAAGCTCCCAAATGTAACTAAGAGGCGATGGGCTAGAATATTAATAAAAATCTCAATGTTTATAGGATATAATGAAGGTCGTGTAAAACTTTTGAGCAGGGCAGTGAAAAACCAAATGATGTTATGCTTGTTTGGGCATTTCAAAATTCCAAACACATGCTCATTTTTTGGGGGGGTGAAAGGTGAGTTTGATTATTTCAATGTGAATTTTTCAGATGCCTATGTAATATATTATACCATGTCCTGAACTGGGCATGCGAAGATTTGAATTCTCTTGCTGACTTATCTTCATACAATTCATGGCAATACTAGGGTACAAGTACAAATTTTTAATTAGAGCAAAAATTCCTCCCTGAGCAGGCAGCCAGTGCACCACTTAATTCCCATTTTCCATTCTATTTGGATTGAGGTGTTTCATATGAAATTCTCATGATGCAAGTTATTATGTTTGAATACAGTCTTCAGAGCTTCCCTCTATTCTACAGTATCAGTCTGAATGTCTTTTGCTGCACCAATGTTACCTCTGGAGCAAATGTGTCAGTGACAGATGGATTCAGCAGCAGTCAGTGTTCGCACAGATTCTCAGTGTTGATACTGTCCTACTGATTTAATAATAAAATTCTGCACTGTTATAGCTATTTTCAATATGAGGTCACAAGCCTAGCAATAGCTTTGTGAGGAACACATACTATTGTCTTCGCTTAAACAGATAAGCAAATTTAGTCACAGAGAGGAAAGTGACTTGCCAAAGACAGGCTGAGAAGAAGAACCCCAAATTCCCGATTTACTTGTCAGTGTAAGACAAAGGGCCAAAACAAAGCCATGTTCCAGTTAGGACTCTTCGATGCTGTCATAGTTGAGCATCTGCTTGGTACATAACTGGAATGTCATCCATAAAAAATAGATGAAAGTCACTTTGCCATAGTATGAGCCTAGTCTTGCCCCATTTAACTACTGGAAGTTTTACATTGTCTGATCCCACTCACTCCCCTCATCCCTGTTTACCTATGGGGGCAGGATCAAGCCTTGTTTTAAATGGATGAAACAAAAGAAGTACCGTCTTAATAAATGGATTTAGGGGGGTTAGTATTCTACCCATAAGGTTTTTCCATTTTCTGGCTCTGTAGAAGAGAGGGTCCCTCCCATGGGCCTCCTAAAACACATTGAACAATCATTTAGTAGCATCTAGTCAAACAGTCCCAGATGGTGGATGCTATGGGACAGATTCTCACACGATGTAAATCAGCATAGCTTTAATGAAGTCAAAGGCCCTATGCTGACTGTTACCATCCAAAGAGTAGGCTCTACATTGGCTCTTGATAGTTTTGAAAGCCAGTCAAGCATTGAAATCAGAACATTTCTATTGAAACATGAAGTGCTCAAAATATAAGAAATAACATTAACATTGCAAGTGCAAACTTAACACTACACCCTTTTGTATTTGCCAGTACATTGTAATTCTTTCTTCAATTTCATGCCCACATATTACTATTCAATATAACATCATAGCTTTCTTCTTCTGTCCGTAGATACTTCTAGGGACAGTTTATTTCAGTATTACCTAAGGCTCTGCGAGTGCCAGACAATCAGTGAAAATCATTTATATTACATGGAAAGAACTAAAAAATAAAAAGTTGTCTATAGCACCTTAGGCCGTGTCCAGACTCAGGGGTTTTTTCGGGAAAAGTAGCCTTTTCCCGAAAAAACTTCCCCTGCGTCCAGACTCAAGCCGCGTTCTTTCGAAATTATTTCGAAAGAACGCGGCTTTTCTTTCGATGGCGGTAAACCTCAATTTACGAGGAAGAACGCCTTCTTTCGAAAGTTCCTCTTTTGAAAGAAGGCGTTCTTCAATGTAAAGAGGCCGTCTTCGAAAGAGAGCATCCAGACTCGCTGGGTGCTCTCTTTCGAAAAAGCGGATTTCTCTTTCGAAAGATCCGCCTGCAGTCTAGACGCGATCTTTTGAAAGAGGCTCTTTCGAAAGATGCTTTCGAAAGAGCCTCTTTCGAAAGAAGCCTGCAGTCTAGACATAGCCTTAGAGACTAGCAGATGAATATAGACAGTATCATGAGCTTTTGTGAGCACAACCCACTTCTTCAGATGACTGGAGGAAGAGGCACAGAGGGGCACAGAATTCTACTTTACAGTTTTGAGGCTTCTGTGCTCCTTTGTGCCTCTTGCTCCATTCACCTGAAGAAGTGAGTTGTGCCCATGAAATCTCATGATACTATCTACAGTAGACTTCTGATAATCTGGAACGTTTGGGACCTAGGTGGTGCTGGATTATCAGATATGACAGACTATCAGGAGGTACTATAAACTGGTTTTATATATATATAAAGTGTTTTAACCCTTTTTATTGTAGCACAAGCACTGTCCAGCATCACACAATGCCAGTGGCGCAGAATGACTCGGTCCCATCCGGTTTCACTCAGTTCAGATGCTGCCGCTGCTGCCTTGTGACTTGTTTTTTGCCGAAGCTCATTCACTAGGCTCTTGCCATTTTGATGCCGGACTATCAGGAGTGCCATACAATTGGATGCTGGACTATTGGAGTTTTACTGTATATTCTTTTGTTAGTCTGTGAGCCCTTATCTTGAAATAAGAAGTGGAGTGTCCACGCTATCAAGCCTGTTATTTCGAAATAACAGGCTGATTATTTTGAAATCTGTACTCCTCCTTTTTTTTGGAGAATAAGCTTATTTCAAAATAGTTATTTTAGGAGTTATTATTTCAAATTTAATTATTATTTCAAAAAATTATTTCAAAATTATTTCCTTGTTTAGACATGCTCTGAGGACCACTTTTTTTGTTTGTTTTTTGTTTGTTTGTTTTTAGGTTTGTTTTAAGCTAGACTAACACAGCTACATCTTGGAG